AATGTCCTTAAAACAAGTCAAAATGAGACTCAGTAGTGTGTGTGGCCTCCACGTGCCTGTATGACCACCCTACAACGCCTGGGCATGCTCCTAATGAGGTGGCGGATGGTCTCCTGAGGGATCTCCTCCCGCACCTGGACTAAAGCATCCCCCACTCCTGGAAAGTCTGTAGTGCAATGTGGCGTTGGTGGATGGAGTGAAACATGATGTCCCAGATGTGCTCAATTGGATTCAAGTCTGGGGAATGGGTGGGCCAGTCCATAGCATCAATGCCTTCGTCTTGCAGGAGCTGCTGACACACTCCAGCCACATGAAGTCTAGCATTGTTGTGCATTAGGAGGAGCCCAGGGCCAACCGCACCAGCATATGGTCTCACAAGGGGTCTGAGGATGTCATCTCAGTACCTAATGGCAGTCAGGCTACCTCTGGCGAGCATATGGAGGGCTGTGCAGCCACCTAAAGAAATGCCACCCCACACCATTACTGATCCACTGTCAAACCGGTCATGCTGGAGGATGTTGCAGGCAGCAGAACGTTCTCCACGGCATCTCCAGACCCTGTCACGTCTGTCACATGTGCTCAGTGTGAACCTGCTTTCATCTGTGAAGAACACAGGGCGCCAATGGTGAATTTGCCAATCTTGGTGTTCTCTGGCAAATGCCACATGTCCTGCACGGTGCTGTAAGCACAACCCCCACCTGTGGATGTCAGGCCCTCATACCACCCTCATGGAGTCTGTTTCTGACCATTTGAGCAGCCACATGCACATTTGTGGCCTGCTGGAGATCATTTTGCAGGGCTCTGGCAGTGCTCCTCCTGTCCCTTCTTGCACAAAGGCAGAGGTAGTGGTCCTGATGCTGGGTTGTTGCCCTCCTACAGCCTCCTCCACCTCTCCTGATGTACTGGCCTGTCTCCTGGTAGTGCCTCCATGCTCTGGACACTACGCTGACAGACACAGCAAACCTTCTTGCCACAGCTCGCATTGATGTGCCATCCTGGATGAGCTGCACTACCTGAGCCACTTGTGGGGGTTGTAGACTCCGTCTCATGCTACCACTACAGTGAAAGCACTGCCAGCCTTCAAAAGTGACCAAACCATCAGCCAGAAAGCATAGGAACTGAGAAGTGGTCTGTGGTCACCACCTGTAGAACCACTCCTTTATTGGGGATGTCTTGCTAACTGCCTATGCTTTCCACCTGTTGTCTATCCCATTTGCACAACAGCATGTGAAATTGATTGTCAAACAGTGTTGCTACCTAAGTGGACAGTTTGATTTCACAGAAGTGTGATTGACTTGTAGTTACATTGCGTTGTTTAAGTGTTCCCTTTATTTTTTTGAGCAGTGTATAATCACAGTGTATTTCACATTCCATTTTGAATACATAGTGAAAAAAGGGTCTTGAGAATTTACAAGGTTGATACTTTATGTACAAAGCTATTATAGAATCTAGTTGTTCTGCTTCAGAAGGTAACAATGAAAAGCAATTATGATGTGTAGAGCCCCTAACAATACTGTGGACCCTGGTCAAGCAGCGGTGCTTATATGCCATGTCCTATATAGTGGCTAAGACACTTAGCTTGTCAATCAGAAAGGTTGGCAGTTTGGCGGTTCGAATCCCTAGCACCGCATAATGGAGTGAGCTCCCATTACTTGTCCCAGCTTTTGCCAACCTAGCAGTTCGAAAGCATGTAAAAAATGCAAGTAAAAAAATAGGGATCGCTTTGGTGGGAAGGTAACAGCATTCCATTCACCTTCAGCATTTAGTCATGCTGGCCACATGACCATGGAGATATCTTTGCACAGCACTGGCTCTTCAGCTTTGTAACGGAGATGAGCACTGCCCCCTAGAGCTGGAAACAACTTGCACGTATGTGTGAGGGGAACCTTTACCTTATATAGAAGGAAGTGAACATCCAATAACCTGTTCTGCCATCCTATCCACTCTCTCTGCACAGCCTTTCTGGTCAAAACAGTAATACTTCCAAACAAGCAATACTACAATATGACAGGATGCTTTTAACTATCCCTTTGTGGAAAGTGGAAAAGGCATGGGAAGTAAGATATGCTTTTTAAATATAATTCAAAAAATGCAGGTATTGTTGTGCTTGCTTCACCAGTGTTTCACAGTTAAGAGATCAAGCTTCTTATTAGCTGCACTCCCAGAAACTTAATACTACTAACACCTCCATGGTTGAATCATTAATACACATATATCACTGTGCCTCCTTTTCCTGAAATTGATGATCTCTTTTGTTTTTCCAAGTTGTTCATTTTACACTAGTTCACTAATCCCTCTACACCAGGGATTGTCAAACTTGTGTCTCATTGGCCAGATGCGTCACATGCTGGCCATGGCCAGCAAAGAGGAAAAAAGGCATGATACATCACGTGATGACGCCTTGATGGAGTGATTTTGACACCCCTGCTCTACACTCTTTTTGTAAGCACTATCATTATCATCCTAAAAAGGCCCACTTTTTCCACTATATGGTTAGTAGCAAATCTTGCACAACAGGGTGAACAATAATGTCACAATACTTGTTTTGATAACTGATGCACCATTTTAAAAGTATCATAAGGGTATAGCTAAATTTGTTTTGAAGAGGAAAAAAATGTGACTGGTCTGACCTGTACCATTTCTGATGTCTGTAACAAGAAAATCCAGTTCTAGCCTTGCAGCTTTAGTGGAGCAAAGAGAGAGCAGTAGTATAAAACCAGATGTTCGTGTAAAAAGGAAACATTTGGGACTAATACTATGGAGGACAAGTCTCAAGTAGATTGCTGAAAGGTATGTACACTGTGATCATTCCACAAGTGGTATAATAATGTTACTGAGATTTCAGACTGTCTTGTAAATGCAAATTTATCTTTCACTGTTGTTTGCCAAAACTTAGTAAATGATGCACATCTTTAGATTCAATATCAGACTAAATGCAAAGATGTTATTGTTTTGGTTGCTTTATTGGATTGCTGTCATTTTGGCAGATTGCTAAATGCATAAATATGCCCAATTCTTCTGAATTAGGAACAGACAGACCTAAATTTACCGACTAGGGGTTGGTAAACAATTGTAGGAGAAGATTAGCCAGGATGAAAAGAGGGATCAGTCTGGAATGATTATGTAAGTAAAAAAAGAACTAAGTCCAACTCACCCTGATTGCCATTGACCCTTCTCTAATCAGATGTTGACCATGAAATGAGAAGATTCATATGCATAGGCTTTTAGTAATAAATCAAATTGAACCTTCATATATGGACGTAGTTTTTTGCTATTGATCAATTTTTCAGCTGCAACTCCCTCAATCTCTAGTTGCTGATTATGCTGTCTTAGTATAAAGTCCAAATCTTTGGAAAGTGCCAGACTGCTATTCCTGCTCCTATTTCACCATTATCATAGGTCAGGTGTATCCAACCCACAGCCCATGGGCCACATATGGCCTTTCACAGCGAGTAATACAACTCCACAAGATCATAAATGTTTAACATTATTATAAGACATAAGACATAAGAATTTATTTGTCATTACACTCGCAAGCGGGTGCAACGAAATGAGGTGCTCTTCCACAAGCAAAACTGGACAAACACCACTAAAAAAGAAAAAGAAAAAAAAAGTTAAACTAAACACAACCAACCATACAATAATCTCTATACAATTTAAAAATGTAAATACCCCACTACTCTCAGCCATTAAGCTCCACAAAAATCTTATGACCCCGCATTCAAACTCAAAACTGCACTTGGATAAAAACTGTTCTTAAATCTTGTCGTCCTTGTTCTTAATACCCTAAATCTCCTTCTCGATGGTAATAGTTCAAAGTGCTGATGTCCCGGATGAGAGGAGTCATTCAATATGTTAAGTATCTTCCTCCTACATCTATTCCTATACAGTTCTTCCAAAGAGGGGAATGAGCAGCCAATGATGTTTTGGGCCGTCTTGATCACCCTCTGAATTGCCTTTTTCTCTGCCACTGTGCAGCTCGAGAACCATACACAGAGACAGTAGGATAATATACTCTCAATTGAACTCCGATAGAAGGTAGTCAATAGACTCTCAGCCAGTTGTTGTTTCCTAAGAATCCTTAGTAAATACAACCGTTGTTGTGCCTTCTTAATTAAAGCAGCGGTGTTTGCACTCCAGGTCAGGTCATTTGTAATGATGGTCCCGAGAAACTTACATTCAACCACCTGTTCCACACGAATTCCCTCTATATACAGGGGCTGAATGTCTGCTCTTTTTTTTCTGTAGTCCACTATAACCTTCTTAGTCTTCTTAATATTAAATAGAAGATTATTATTTTTGCACCAGCGGGATAGCTGTAATACCTCATCCCGATATGCAGACTCATCATCCCCAGAAATGAGTCCTACAAGCGTAGTATCGTCACATTATGAACATTAACTATATATTTTACGTGTGACACAAGACAATTCATCTTCACTCAGTGTGGCCTAGGCAAGCCAGAAGTATGGATACCCCTGCTGTAGATGATAAGAGCTAAAGGTGACCTCATTCCCAAGTACATTAAAACAGACCCATCCATTCATCTTCTTCTTCCTTTTGTTGGCTCACTCAAAATTGCCACTACAATTTTCATATTTTGGGAATCTGTAAAGTGCAGGTATCTTCTTAGAATGTGACTCTCCAATGCTATCTTCCTCATACTTACTCTAATACCATCTAGCTACATTTCACATTCTAAATTTACCCATAACCAGATTAATTACATAACATTTGTTAGACACGTGTCATTAGAGTACTCCTTCAGTTGCTCCAAGTTTGTTTATATCAATAGAACAAATACTTAAAGACAGCATTTTATGTTCCCCAAAAATTGATAGAAGAAAAAAGAAGAAGAAAGACAATTTAGGGAGTAGATGGAAAAAGAGTAGAGAAACAATCACATTGACTTTGCTTCTCTCATTCTCATGTGACTTTGCAGCTTTTTTCCAATCCAAAAATCTTATCCCTTCTGCTCCATCAGGGCCAGAAGAATAAACATGCAGGTGGAGATGGTCCCTGGGGCAATAATACTGTTCATCCTCTTTCTGCTCATATTCTGGGCCTTCCAGTTTCAGCAAGCAAGAGGCAGGCTCCCTCCTGGTCCCAGGCCCTGGCTCTTTCTGGGGAATCTACTGCAAAAAGATGTTCTGCCTCTGTATAAAACCTATCCAAAGGTAAGACTGTTTTTGATATGACTCCTTTCTTAGCGGGAGAGAGATTAATAATTATTTGGGAGATTACCAGTTATCCATAATTTAGAGTTTAATTCTTTCTTTCCATTATCCAAATGGAAGAAATAGCCCAGCCTCTCAAAAGCAGAACTGACAAAGATAGAATAAGTATACAAGTCAAAATAGCCAAGAAAATAATAAGAGAATGCCTAACCACTCTGAATGAGTTCAAATCACCTTCACCAGATGGTTTATGTCAGACGGTTCTCTAGGAGCTGTCTCATCCACTGAATGTAACCTTTCAAAGCTCCTGTAACATATGAGAACTACCAGAGGACTGGAAGAAGCTGATGTGGTCCCAATCTACAAAAAGAGGGGGAAATGGATCCAGGAAATTATAGACCAATCAACTTGACATCAATACCTGGGGAAATCCTGGAAAAGATAAGCAAGTGGAGGGTTTCTGAGCATCTAGAAACAAACAAGGTGATTAGTTAAAAGCCAACATGGGATTCTTAAAAAGAGACCTTGCCAGACAAACCTTATACCTACCTTTGATAAAGTGACTAAATTGGTGGATCAGCAAAATGCTGTGATTATACTTGATCTGTTTTTCATTGTTCTGTTCACAGTATTATATACATATTTGTTCTGCTTTTCATTGTTCTGATTACAGTAATTAGCTTATGACTTCAGAAATTTCACTTAAAGTAGCCATGAAATTTAGTCATGAATGAAGAAATATACCTATAAAAATTGTAAGAGTTGTGTATGTAGATGTGTATTTTAAAAGAACTATCTTCTAACACCCAACAATAATATCTTTGCTAGATATTTCAAGTTACTTCTGAATTCTACATGTTTAAATCGCATCTAGCAGTCCAATATTGTGAAGGGAATATTAATGCATGAATTGGTTTTACCTAACTCATTATCATGATGTTAACTTAGTTTTGTGAAAGTATATTGAAGAACCACTACCAGCAGGGGTGGGATTCAAATTTTTTAACAACCAGTTCTGTGGGCATGGCTTAGTTGGTGAGTATGGCTTGGTGGTCATGTGACTGGGTGGGCGTAGTCAACTCGACGTCAATCACATCAAGGGGCGCTTCTCCTTGCCTGGCCTCTCATGACAGTGGGGATGCTGCAACGGTCATAAGTGTGAAAAATGGTCATAAGTCACTTTTTTCAGTGCCATTGTAACTTTAAATGGTCACTAAATGAACTGTTGTAAGTCAAGAATTACCTGTACAGTAATACAAAAAGCTTCTTTGCTTGCAAAAAGCTGCCCTAAATACCAATCATTAGATTAAAAATACCTGCAAGCCAGAGTTACAAATCAGGCAGAGTGCCAGAGCACCGTGAGGAATTAAAATAGTTAAAGTACAATGATAACTATCAGCAGCCAACTCTTGCTCATAAAGTGAAACCCTTTAGCAGAGAGGTCATTTAAGTTCTCCATTTGTACCACTTAAAGATACCAGCCACTCATCTCACAAGATTTTCTAAGGAAATCATCCAGGTTTAAAGAAAGGCCCCATGCCCCCCAGAAAGGCAATTAAAAAATCAGTGCAAACTATACCCTAATAGGACAGTGCCAGATACCACTATAGCAGTGAAAGAAGAACCCCTCCCCAGATAGAAAAAGAAACCATGAGGTAGGAAAAAATTCAAACACAATACAAATAATTAAATCACAACAGTAGCTGCTGCTTGTTAAACCAATTACCATAACAAATAGACATAGGATTTTTTCCCTTCCAAACAAAGCTGAATAGGGGAAATTATCCCATCAATAAACACAGGATTAAATGTCACCAAGCACAGATTTAAACTTCACCAAAAAACAGGTTTTGGACCAAAACTCAGAAAGGATATGTAAACTCACATTTGAATGTCAATCTTTTTTTTTTTTTAAAGAATTTTATTGGTTTTTTAAAAACAGACAAAACAAACAAAAAATAAAAACATCTATATATACACAAACAGTGTATATATATATATATACACAAACAGTGTGTCGGTTGGTTCATCAGTTTTGTGCATTCATTTCATAGTCCCGATTACAATTACATTACTTAGTAACTCATATTATCAATCCAAACTTATATATCCTAGTATTGCTATTAAAAAATCATTTGACTCTAATTTTATTCATTCATACTTTATGAGCTAACTATAATTATTCTATAACATATCATATAATCATACCAAATCTATCCTAAAACACTTTATAGATATGATGTCAAATAACAAAAGAAAAAGAAAAAACAAAAATATTCCTTATTACCTAACATTCTTAATATTCTATTATTATATTTTATCATCCAACCATTGATAGAAAAGATCCCAAATTTTATAGAATTGTTTATCCTCTTGCTCTCTAATTTCAAATGTCAATCTACTCATCTCAGCACATTCCAATATTTTCTTAATAATTTCTTCCTGCAATGGTATTTTCTCATTCTTCCAATTTTTAGCAAATACAATTCTAGCCACTGTTAATACATTTACAATCAAGTATTTCAAATCTTTACTGTATGTATCTGGTAAGATTCCCAATAAAAAAACTCTGGTTTCAAATCTATGCGTTTCTTTGTCATTTTTTCCAACCACGTGCGGATTTTAGTCCAATATTTTCTAGCATCCTCACAATTCCACCACATATGGTAATATGAGCCAGGTATCTGATGACATTTCCAGCATTTTTCAGATTTATTCTTGAACATTCTTGCTATCCTCGTCGGGGGAAAGTGCCACCTGTAAAACATCTTATACAAATTTTCTTTATAAGCTGTTGACATTGTCATTTTATAATTTTCCGACCATAGTTTTTTCCATTTCTCTAAATCAATCCCATATCCAAAATTCTTCCCCCAAACAATCATAGTTTCTTTAACTTGTTCTTCCTCTAACTTAATTCCCAGTAAATAACCATATAATTTTTTAATCACTTTCTCATCAGTACCTGTCAAAATCTTATCTAGATTAGTCTGTTTATCATAAAATCCCTCTGTTTTAGAATCTTCATCATACCTTGAATGTATTTGCGCATATGAAAACCAATTCATCTTTATACTTTGTTCCTCTAGATTTTGTATCGATTTAAGTTCACCCTTTTCATCCAATAGTTCCCCATATCTAACTGTTTGTTCCTTCTTATAAATTATAGGGTAGGAAAATGCTTCAATAGTCGATAACCAAACTGGAATTTTCAAATAACATTGTCTTTTTATCTTCTCCCAATTTAACCACAAAGATTCCCATATATAATGTCTTCTAAAATAACCCTGTGTTTTAGTTCCCTTATACCATAAAAAGGCATGCCAACCCAACAACAAATCATGACCTTCTAGTGTCAACAATCTAGTCTTTCTTAATGTTATCCATTCCTTAACCCACATCAAATTTGCAGCTTGGTAGTACAACTCCCAATTAGGCAGACCGAAACCTCCTCTAATTCTAGCATCTTGCAAAAGCTTTAGCTTTATTCTCACTTTCCTACCTTGCCATATATACTTCAACACAATTTTGTTTAAGTCTTCAAAATAGTCTTTTCCGAGCCTAATTGGTATTGTTTGAAACAAAAATAAAATTCTGGGTAAAATATTCATCTTGATTGTTGAGATTCTCCCTATTAATGACAATTGCAAATTTTCCCATTTCTTCAAATCTGAAGCTATCTGTTGTTTCAGTTTAATATAATTATTCTCTTTTAATGTACTACATCTTGATGTCAAGTATATCCCCAAATACTTGACCTTGTTCGTGACTTGAATTTTCAACAAGTCTGCCAGTTCTTCTCTTTGTCTTAGTAGCATATTCTTTGTCAAAATCTTTGTTTTGTCTTTATTTATTTTCAAACCAGCCACCTCGCCATATATCTCTATCTTTTCCAATAACTTTGAGGCTGTTTCTAAAGGGTCTTCCAAAATAAAGACTAAATCATCCGCAAAAGCTTGCAGTTTGAATTCTTCCTTTTTAATTTTCATTCCTTTTATGCTTTTATCATCTCTAATATTTCTATTCAACACTTCCAAGGTCAATACAAATAACAAAGGAGATAGAGGACATCCTTGTCTTGTGCCTTTTCTTATATTAATAAAGTCTGTGAGTTCTCCCTCCATCATTACCCTCGCTGTTTGATTATGATATATGGCTTCTATTGCTTGAATAAATTTTCTAGCAAAACCCATCTGTTCCAGTAGTAGTAACATAAATCTCCAGTTCACATTATCAAATGCCTTTTGAGCATCTAGGAATATCAAAGCCATTTGCTTTTCAGGATGTGCCTCGTAGTATTCCAAAGTATCCAGGATTATTCTCATATTGTCTCTAATTTGTCTCTTTGGCAGAAATCCATTTTGGTCTGTATGAATGAAATTATTTAAATATTTTTTAAGTCTTTCTGCTAAGATTGAAGCAAAGATTTTATAGTCTGCATTTAATAAAGAAATAGGTCTATAGTTCTTAATTTGCTATGGGTCAGCCTCTTCTTTTGGAATAAGTGTAATATAAGCCTCTGACCATGTTTTGGGTATCATCTTCTTTAACATAGCTTCATTCATAACTTCTAACAATGGAATGCTCAATGATTCTTGTAATGTTTTATAGAATTCTGCCGAGAGCCCATCTGGACCTGGTGCTTTCCCATTATTTTGTTTCTTAAGTGCTTCAGTTAGTTCCATCATTGTTATATTGCTTTCTAGCATTTCTTCAGTCTCTTTGGATATCTTAAGTAGGTTAGCATTCTGTAAATACTGTTTAACTTTTTCCTCATCAATATTCTCTTGCTTATATAATTGCCCATAAAAGTCTCGGATAATTTCCTTTTTCTCCTTATTACCATGACAAACTCGGCCTTGGTCATCTATTAACTGCAATATTTTTCTTGATTCTTTCTCCTTTCTCAATTTATATGCTAGCCATCTACTTGGTTTATTTGCATCTTCAAAATAATTCTGTTTAGCATTTCTAATTTTCTGTGCCAGTTCTTCTTTCTC